AAAAAAAAAACAAATGAGGTCAAAAGAAACTCTGAAACTTGTTCTTGAGCAGAGAGGCTAAGTAAAAGTAATGATGAAGTTATAGAGCTGAACAGAAAATTTTGAAAGGGTAGCTTGAGAAGAGAAAGTCAAATATTTTAATGAAATGTGCAAAGACCTGGAGTTAGAAAACCAAAAAGGAAGAATATGCTTAGCATTTCTCAAGCTGAAAGAACTGAAGAAAAAATTCAAGCCCCAGGTTGCAATACTGAAGGACTCCATGAGCAAAATTTCATTTTACTTGGATCTGGAATCAATGATCATGGAAGCAGTAGTCAAGAAATAAAATGATGTATTGCATTAGGTAAATCTGCTTCAAAAGACCACTTTAAAGTCTTCAAGAACAAAGGTGACACATTGATGATTAAGGTGTGCCTGACCCAAACCATGGTACTTTCGGTCACCTCATATGAATGTGGGAGCTGGACAAGTAATAAGGAATAAGGAACTCTGGAGAAGAATTGATGCCCTTGACTTGTGCTGGTGAAGAATATTGAAAGTACCAGATGAACAAACAACTCTGTCTTAAAAGAAGAATGCTCCTTAAAAGCAAGGATGGCAAGACTGTGTCTTATGTATTTTGGACATGTTATCAGGAGGGACTAGTCCTTGGGAAAGGACACCATGCTTTGTGTAATAGAGAGTCAGTGAAAAAGAGGGAGACTCCCAGAAAGATGGAGTGACACAATTGCTGCAACAAAAGACTTGGTGCACAGGGTTGACAGGGATGGGCAGCTTGGACATGGGCTACCCAAAATGGCGGTGCTACAACTACCAGCTGTTCTGCGAGAGAAAGATGAGGCATTCTGCTCCCATAAAGATTTACAGCCTCGGAAACCCTGTACAGGGTAGCTATGAGTCGGAACCGACTCCACGGCACACAACAACAACAAAGGCACAAAGTGACTGGCTTACAAGCTTTCAAGAGGGATCCTACTTTCAGAGGATGTTGGGGAAGGTAGAATTTTCACTGCGTGTTTTCCAACCTATCTGGATGGGGTTGGTGAAAGGAGATGGGGATAAGACTCTTGTGGTTCAATAGTGAATAATTGCTATCAATGCTGATTGTGAGGGTTGCAAATGTAAAAGTGAACATTTTGTATTAAAAGGAGGGGATTGGTTGATCTTACAGTCTGGGAGCGGAGGACCCTGGGACCATCAAGGGAGAAGAGAGGAGAGCTGAACCCTATCCAGAGAAGCAGCAATGCCAGAGATGGATGCAGAGATGATGACATGGAAAGATGGAGCAGCTGGGGACTCTGGACTCTGGGAGGGAGAAGGGCTGTCTATTGATGCCCAGGGGACAGGCTTGTGGGGTATACCGTTTGGCTGTTTGATAATGCATGCAGTGAATTGTAATCATTGCAATGAAACAAAATAAGATAGGATGAATGTAAAGCTGATATTCTCCCATGTAAACTATTGCATAATTCACAATAAAAACTTAAAAACAACAATAAAACCCCTCCAATTCAGCAGATGAACAGTAAATGTCCTGCCTATGGAGCTGGGGTGATGTGCTCCCTCTGTGCTAGATGAATTGTTGAAAAAAGCTGGGGTGGTGGATTCTCACACTAGCAGGTTTTAACTGTGAAACATGAAATGATTAAGGTTCAAAGGTTGCGATACAAAGTGAAATTCTGTCTCACTATAATGAGTATTTATGTACTTGGCAACACATCTTAGCGATCACTCAGAAGAAAACAATAAAGCTTTCTAACTGCTCAAAAAAAAAAAAAAAAAAAAAAGAAGAAGAAGAAGACAGACGACTCAAACCTAGTGTTTGTGAGGACGCCCTGTGCAATGTTTCATTCTGTTATGTATCAGGTTACTATGAGTTGGAGCTGACTCAGTGGCTCCTAATAACAACAGCAGCAGCAGGAGTAGTTGTACACAAAAATCGGATGTTTGTAACCTGTTGTTGTAATTGTTGTTCAATGCTCAAGACTTTCTATATAGGGTTTCTATAGAGAGTACAAAAGCGGTTCTAGTTATAGAAGTAACATGAACAAAGTAATGTAAGCCAGAGTGTGCAAGAGGAACAGCTAGGAGTTGGCAAGCAGACTATTTATTTCTTTTTTCTTCAAACAAGTAAACAAAAACAGATTTTTTTAGCAGTTGCTGTTAATTTGATTCTGAGCCATGTACCCATGGTGTGTCAGAGTAGAACTCCATATGGTCTTCAGTGCTCTGACCTTTTGGAAGCAAATAGCCTATCCTTTCTTTTGAGGTGCCTCTGGGTGGTTTACCCACCATTCTTTTGGGTGCTTACTTTTCTCACTGTCCAGGACTTCTTCATTTATCTTAGTAACAGGTCAATAATCCGCAATCCACAGCAAAGACTAGTTCCTTGCTAAGTGTTTTTGTTGTTAAGTGCTGTCGAGTTGGTTCTGACTCATAGCAACCCTGTATAGGGTTTCTGAGGAGCGGTTGATGAACTTGAACTGCCAGCCTTGCAGTTCAAACTGACCTTGCAGTCCAGCACATTTATCCCCAGCGCCACACCAGGACACCTTGTTATTCCAAACATCAAAAATGAGGGGCTAGTGATTTAAATTTGGGTGCATGAAAGGTATCCGTAATTTTGTTTGTGGAAGGAGCACGTACTGCATTTTAGAAGTGACAATTTGCCTATTTTGTGCCTATG